GGATTTTCATAGGTCATATTGGTGCTTAGGGCCTTTGATGATCGGGTCCTAACAGAAACAGATCCAGGATTTTATAAAGGGGGGTGCAGTCGTAGCAACCAGCATGACAGAGGTGGCTGCACCCCTTCAGGCTCCCATGCCGTAGGAGGAGCACCCTGGGACTTGCATCCCGAGGGACGTAAGCATTCTCCCCACAGTTTCCCTCCATGCTCAGAAGAATGTCCGCTCCCTTCCCCTCTCTGGCCCCTCCTCGGCACTATCAGTATCCATGCTGTCCCAGGGGCAAGAGGAGTTCCTGCCTCACACCAGAGCGGATACACTCACCTGGGGCTGTGGAAACGGCAGCAGTGGCAAATGGGCATGACCCCCCTCCCCACACCTACTCCTGGGCTGGTGGGGAGCACCCTGCAAGGGGGGATCAGGCACGGAGGGGGAATACACCCACCACTGCCGTGATCCCGGACTGAGCCCAGCCGGGGCAGACAGGAGCTATCCTTGCTCCCAGAACAGTGCAGACACCAGCAATGGCAGGCTGGGGAGGGAAGAATGGGATAGGGAGGGGAGGGGATGCAGCTTTGAACACAGAGGGGAAGGGAGTGGGGCATGCATACCTTCTCTGGGACTTAAGTCCCTGGCTGCTGCTCATGTGGCATGGTCGGAAAGGGGACTGTGGTCACCACTGCACCCCCTCCGGATCCACTCTTGGGTCCTAAGGATTCTCAAGCTGAGCATCTATAGATTGAGATATCTGGATTTTGAGGCTACTTAAGAAATGTTAGCCATAGACCATCTCTCCCATCCCAGGGACTTCTCAAATGCTGGGCCAGGTCCCCAGCGGGCATCAATCAACAGGTTTCTTTGACTCTACCAAAGTTAAGGTTACCAAGCCAGCGTATACTAGTAAAGGATTTAGCTCCTGAATTTGGTATTACACAATGAAAAAGTTTTCGGGGTCTCATATCCAGATGAATTTCATACTCTATAGGCCAGCTCTTTAGTTGGTGAAAATCCAGCAAGCTCCCTTTCAGATCTGGCCTCCTCCTAAAATCTGACTCAGTTCATAGCCTAGACGACAAGCAAACTCGAGAGCCTGTTCCCCTCTCACTTGCACCGGTATAAATCAGGCGTGACAATGTTAAAGAGAGTGGAGCTACAGCAATGTACAATATTTAAGTCGCAGGTTACTCAGGCTATGAGCCCTTCCTTCCACTAGGAACCCTGGAAATCAGTTAATCCAAGATGGGCGGGTATGCTGCTACAGATGGCCCTGATTTCACAAACCACACACAACTGTAAAGATTGCAAGTGAAATGCACACATTTGCTTCTCTGTCTGGAGCAAAAGTTCCTTGAAATGTTTCAGTTTGTTGCATCACAGTGTACAAACATGACCTGAGAACTTAAGGGAAACTTAACTGAGGCTATAGCAGAGCATCTCAGTGGGGGTTAAGAAACAGTTTCTAGCTAATTAGTTGATCAGCTCAATTTTAAGGCAGGCAGCACTCTTATTCCTTAAGACTTCTGACTTGGCTTTTGTCAGAAATGTGGAGACACCACCCTTCTGCCCCAGTCTCCCAACTGTGAGCTTCCAAGATAAAAATATTCTGTTGTAATTTCTGTTGTGTAATCTACATTCCTTCACATATTTTTTGTAAATTTTTTATTATCCTTATTACTTTTAATCTTCAAGTACGACGGGATTGTAGATTATCTGGGACAATGCTCTTTTTTTCTGTCGAAGCAATGCTGCCACTGTGTGGCTCCCAGTAAAAAAGGCCGGACGAGCACACACCAACTGCAGAGGCTTCCTCAGCCTGATGAAGGGTTTTTAAACCCAAAAGCTTGCTAAAAAACATTTTTTTCCCCAACTATTTAAGTTGGTCTAATAAAAGATATCAGATTCACCCAAAGAAACTTGTCTGCCGTTGAGCTTTGAGGCACAGGACACCAATGTGCTTGCAACAACCTAAAAGACCTCACCCTGACTTACACTTGGGCTCCTTTACACTGCTCTGGCAGTCAGTGTAGTTTGTCTCCTGCTCTTTCATTTGCTTTTAGTGTAAAGTACAATCAAGCTGTTTGTGATGATAGCATGTGGCATGAAACTGAGATCCTACACATAGGCTGTACCCAGGAAGAAGTGTGCTATATTCTATACATTTGTCACTCAGGGCCTCGGTAAAATATGGCATCAAGATCCATGCAACCCATTTTCTAAACAGTTGTCTTCTGGAGAAATAAGCTTTTAGTTGATCCGGAGAGTATCAGTGAAGTTGAAGGGGAAAGTCTACAAGACGTATGCGTCCAGCTCTGTTGTACGAAGCAGAGACACAACCCCTGAGGAAAACTCAAGAAGGGAGACTGAATGCGACAGAGATGAGCGTGCTCCAGTGGATGTGTTGAAGATGGATAAAGTCAGGAATGTTTACATCAGAGGATTGGTAAAGGTAGGCCAGGGCCAGAAAGTACAAGAGGGAAGACTAAGACTAAGAGGGCATCTAAGAAAGTACAAGAGGAAAAACTGGCATGATATGGGTATGTTCAAGGGAGTCCAGAAGAATATGTAGGAAAAGAAGGTACCAGAATGACTACCAGGGAGAAGGGGATAAAGAAGATTGAAGATGAGATGGAGAGATATAGTGGACAGGGACACGAGAGAAGGAGTTGGAAGAAGGTGAATATCATGGGCAGCTGGTGCCATCTTAGTCGGAGGGGCAGAGGGGGCATGTGCTGCACCCCAGCGACCAGCCAGTCTCGTCAACTGGGGGTTCCCCCATGGTCAGTCTTGCCAACCAGGGGGGAGGGTCCCCCACGGCTGATCATACTGACCAGGAAGCAGCTGCAGCACTCCCAGAAGTGGCCATGGTGCTTCATCCAGTGCTCCTGTTCCCTGGCTGGTGCTCGCTGGGGGGCACCGGCGCTCCCACCTGCCCCCCTCCCCACCCCACCCCTGCCTGAGTGGAGAGTGCAGCCTGTCAGGGTGTGCACCAGTGGTCTCAGGGGGTGCACCTGCACCCCCTACGCATCGCCACTGATACACATGACCAAAGCCAGTCAAGAGCCAGGATCCACAACAGCGACGCTGTTTAGACAGGACAAGCAAGAGAAGAAGAAGAGGACGTTGTGCCAAGAAGAACTTGCATTAAATCTGTAAATGCTAACAGGGAGGGTAACTGGATAACAGTGAGGGTAACTGGCCATCAAGACAGCTTGCCAAGGATTGGAGGACATTCCCCACTGCTCAGAGCCCTTAAATCAAAACTGGATGCCTTTCTGAAGGAGATGCTCCAATTCAACCACAAGCGATTGGGTGTAATGAAGGAATGAGTGAGTGAAAATCTCTGGCCTGTGCTATGCCAGAGGTCAGCTCCAATCATCAAAACATTCACTTCTGGCCTTTAAAATCTATGAAGCAGTAGTGGATGATGTGATATCACTCAATAATCTGCACCCAAAATGTTCTGAGACAGAGCAGAGACTTCCTTGTGATGATAGCAAGAGCCTTATATTATTGGTGTCTGTTTGCTTTTTTTGGTCCAGGATATATGACTCTGCCAGCCAGGCAGCCTGAGCTGCTGTGCGCAGGTAAAGGATCTGTACCCATTGTGACCTGCACACCTAACCTTTTACAACAGAGACAGCAAAACGCACGCTCCACTTTCATTGCCGCTGGGTTGTAAAAGATATATAGTAACTTTGTTGGCTCCCTTTAGACAACATGAAAAAGCAAAAGCTCCCTGCACAGATCACAGGGAGAATACAGATAATTGCAGGCTTCCATTGCTGGTCTGTGCAATAGCACAGGGTTACAACGATGTATAAACTAAGGTGTGCAATATCCAGCTTGAATGAGATCAGAGAAGTGCTACATGCCAAAATATATGAAGCAGAAAAATACAAGTATTTCGAACAAGTGCCCCTTTTTCTCCTTTATCCGCTTGCCTCCCCCCCTGTTTCATATCCTCAGGAACACACTGTCAACAAGGGCTTTTGCACTTACAGCCTCTCACCTCCCTCTAGCACAAGCTGTGCAGCCCTACAAAAAGTTTTACATATGGTGTTTTAAAACATTTTTAGCGCTTTTTTAATAGATGTGTTGTCCCTGTGTGATCCCCTGGGGTGCTTACAGGACCCCTTCTATGCCAGGTTGAGAAGCTGTGGTAATTCATCTCCTTTGCTGCATCGGCCAAGTTGGCAGTCATCAAAAAACCCTTATTCAGTTAACCAGGGGCGAGGGAAATAAGAATCTCCATTTTAGCTCAAGCTCAAGCTACAGGTAAAAATTTCCAAAGTATGTAAAGGCTGGAGTTTGAAGGCACATAGAGATGCAGGTAGGCACCTATTAGGTTTTCTCAAAAACTGGTTAGGTCTCTAAACGCCTTTGAAAAACAGCAGTTAGTGATCAAGGAGCCTAAATTCTATTTTCAGCACTGGCTGTGGCTTTTCACAGTCTAAATCCAACTGATTTTCAATGAGACTTACACTTTTAAATATTTAAGTCCCTTCTGAAAATGGAGTGTGGACACATGCATCACTTTACTTTTGAAACCGTTATCGGCAGCAACTATTTCTTGCCCACTACTACCTTCTGGGATTGGACAGGAAGCAGAGTCTGAGAAACCCAGTTACTATCTTATGGGACTGCAATAATAAGAGAGTGCCTAAAAATTGTCAGTTGGGCCAGAGCCAATATTGCAAAAGAAGTGGTTCTGGAGAAGCCATCTTTTTTATCTCCAGTACATACCCCAAACTGGTGTATCAAAGCAAATAGATGGTGAGCAGGTCATGGGATGACCTCCTTGTCTAGAAGTTTGCAATGGGAAGATGTTCATAGGGATGGGGTATGTGCTATTTTCTAGGGGCGGAAGGACTCAATTCATTTTAAACCAATCAAAGTCATAGCCTTTGTGCTGATGACCCCAGGAGAGAGTAGAGTTACTTTTTGAGCACATGCAATTTCCTAAGTCGATCCATTTACTGATGGCGTGTCTTTTTCCACAGATCCCCAATTTAATGATGTTCAGAAGCAGCAGAGACAGCAAAAATGGCAGCCTCATTTCTAGGAATAGAGCCAAGCTCATTAAACTAATAAGGGATGTAAATGGTACAAAGACTGCTTTTTCTGCATCAGGCATCAAACTCTATAACAACTCATCAATAAGTATAAAGCCACCTAGCTTAGCACACCTAAAGATGCAACATTATTGTAATGGATGCTTCAACTCAATTACTCAAGGTAAGAGATTCTCCTATTAGGATTTTCTGTTCCCCCCACCCTTGTTATCGAACGCTGTAACAATAACTAAAATGCTATTATTTATCATTGTTTTCCCGCTGCATTTCTTGAACCTGCCATGGGTTGTAATCTGTATTGTGCTATTAGTGTAGATTATGTGAGTTTTTGGCAGTGGGGACCTTGCCTTGTATCTATCTAGAAAGTGTAATGCATACAAAGAACACTATCTAAATAATGGCATAATTGACAGTTGGCAAAAGAGACATCAAATTACCACTCAAGTGCCTGCTGATGCAAATATATCAGGAAGTACCAATGAATGGCAGCCACTTTTGCTTGTATCTTGTTATTTTGAAATGCAGGAGCAATGACAATTTGCATTAGCTGCCCTTAAAGTCCACACGTATTTCTTAAGATATGCTGTAGGAGAATTTCCATTAGCCTGTGGGTTTGGATCTAAAGATATGCGGAGAAGGGCTGAAAAGTCATGTTTCTTAGGAACTACTTGGCTAGTTGATTGTAAATGTATCCTTAGCTCAATAAATCTGATTTAAGTTATTCCCTTTGAACTGTTGACCAGGTGGGTGTGAACAAACATAGCTTTTCTCCAAAGAGAAGGTCTTTTGTCCTGGGATCCTACAGTCCATTGTCATGCTTTAAATACCTGGGAAGCATGCCAGATAAAATGTGCTCCTGCTTTTCCTCCCAGACACTGTTGCATATGTCTGTAAGTTAATTGTGGCTCATTTAAGTTAATTGCCAGTCATTCCAGGGGCAAGCCTGACAGGCTGTGTGCTCTCCCTGGCCCCATTGAGAGAGGAGCAGCAAGGCAATCTGGAAGGGCTATATGTGTAAAGGGCTGTGCTGCTCCTCTTTCGTCTCAAGTCTTGACTTGGATCAGTCAGGACCGGCTCAAATGAGATGTCTGTTTGCAGCCTGTGAGGGAGTCTAGTACCAGAGCCCATTACTGATGATCTTACCTTGTGTCAGGATCTCTCACTCACATGGCCAGTAAGAAATATTTTACTCCTTGGATATTTTCATTGAAATCAGTGGGCTGCTTGCTGTGTCAGCTACTGCTCAGTGAAATTAGGGGCGGGAGGGTACAGCCCTTAGTATGACTGGGAACTGTATTGGTTTTACAAAGATGAGGATAAACCCCAATACAGAGTGTGTTGCTCAGTGAAAGAAATGGGAGATAGTACTTTCAGTCCTGTTTTATCAGTGCCACCTGGTGCTCAGAAAAATGAATCCTTCGAGTCCAAAAAACAACATTGGAAACTGGTGGGCTGTGTCCATCTGGATTTTGATTTTTCCCCTCCTTTGAAATAACAGTATCACTGTTGACCTGAAGTATATGGAGGTTTGTATTTTCAAGAGCTCTCCGGCATGTAAAGCTTTGAGTCAGAGACACTCACATATGCCCAAAAGGTGTAATTTTACAAGGAAAGCCAATCACATTTATGTTTTCCATAAATTCATACAGATCCTAGGCTGACGTTTAATGGGTGAGAGGTGTAAACATCCATTATTACCAAAAAGCTAATGGACTTATAAATCTAGCCATAAACATCTAAACCTCCTGCTAAATGAATTTGTGGGAGTGTAATTACAGTAATTGAATATGGAAGCATGTTATTCTTATCTGTGCTGTCCCAAGTATTCCTCCAGAGAAAGGTCCTGAGCATTGCTGAGCTCTCTGCAGCTGGCTGCACAGCAGTGTGTTATAATCATTTGTGTCAGCACTGCATTTCCCATCATTGTGAAATGCACAACTCCAGATTCTCAAAGCAGGCCACTTCACCCGATAACACATGCAAGCCACTGCAATAAAGATCTGTCCTAAGTTGTTTTGTTGCATTGCATCAAAAGTTAGTGAACCAAAATCAAAACTGTTGTAAATTGGATTTTCTTGCCCCTTCCTCCAAATTTTAATGTTAAAAGCGAACAGGCATTTTTTTTTTAGCAGCTGCCTTGATTGTTTCGTAATATACACTGTTGCTTAATACATACTGAAGGAGGGAGGGAGCCAAGGATCTGCTGGCTGGCTCCAGCCTCCTGGACAAACTGATAGTGAGAAAGGGCCCATCTGCCCCAGTGACTGACAGGCCTAGGGCAGAATTAGTGGGCCAGGTAAGCCAGAGAGAGATATATAAGCCCACAGCCTGAAGCAAGGCAGATAGTCTGGCCCTACAGACTGCAAGAAGCAGAGCTCCAAGGAGGAGCGGGGCCTGAGCAGACAAGAAGCAAGGACTCCAAGATGCAGAGATCTCCTGGACCACCAGGTAACCAAAGATTAGTATTTTGGGGCCTTGCGTGGTAGTTTTGCCATGATGTGGTATTAACCCAGGGTGGGGAACTTTTTGTTTGAAAGGAGATGCTCATATCTTTTAATTTGTGTTTAAATACCGGAGGACCGGATTGTGGCTGTAGGGGTGGAGGACACCACAGAAAAGAGTGCCAAAGGCACCCCAGGCCCTGCACCTGACCCTTTGAAGGGTCTAGCACTGCTGTTACTGGAAGGACTGTGGCATCAGAAAGCAAAGACTGGGGACACAAGTCCAGGGGCCGAGGGGCCCAGAGCCCACGAAGGCAGAGCCAGAGCTTGCAAAGGTGGGGCCAAAGGTGGGGCCTGGGAGCCCACAGTCCTGAGACAGTGGACCTCAAGCAGAGGTGCCCAGCCAGAGCAGAGTTGGCCAGAGCCAAGGGGCCTCAGCCCAGACAAGGGTCTAATACCCAAAGCCCCCCTTTCCCCCAGGGGCAGCCTCCCTGTCCATTCATAACATCAGGGCATGGCAGGCCAGACAACAGGGTGGGACTTTGAGAAGCCAGAGGGGCAAGGAAAGCAGGATCCAGGCAGACCCCAGGGGGGTGACATGCTACACACACACAGTCATCATTACACAACTGGATTTGAACCAGTGACCTAGAAGAGTTGCCTGGGCTTTATTCTTCATTATATTTTTCAGTGGTAGCTAGCAAATGACTGGATAAATTAGGTTTAGAAAAAAAATGTAATGCTAAAAACCCAACACGATTAGATTTTCCTATACAGATTTTCATTAAAAGGAAAGGCACCGTCTTATCAGCTCCCCTAATAGATGTTCTGTGCTGTTCTGATGAGTTTGATAAGGTCTGAAGATAGCATTAAACAGTTTTAAACTACCCATTTTCATACTTAATTGTCATTGGAATGAAAATGACTCGCGGGCAAAAAAAAAAGGAGGGCATCCATAAGCAATGTGTGTTGGATAACAAATCACGTCCAGCTGAAACGTTGAGCACACAGATCAGAATAGCAGAGATGTCGGTATTAATTTACGGGAACAATTATGGCTTAAATTAAAGTTGGTACCAAAGTTACTTACGTTCTGAATCAGGAATAAGTTTAAGCCAAGGGAACTGAGCCCTTCAAAGAAAGACTCAGGAGCTGTGGGTTCCCCAGTGTTTCCAGCTCCTTTGAAGGTTCTGGGATAAAAGATTTCTCCTTTGGACTCCATAGAAATGACCCAGGTAGGCAAAGCCTTGGCTGGGATGAAGTAGTTGGGGTTGGACCAGATGTTCTCCTGCAATCCCTTCCAACCCTCATTTTCTATGACTCTATGAATTTAATTATTTGCATTTCGGGTAAAAGAATGGAAGTTGCTGTTATTTATTATAGTATGTAGGAAGCTCAGTCACATAGCTTCACTGTGCTAAAAGCCCAGTCACAGACACTAATGGATTCCCATGTCGTCACCTGCAGGCCTCAACACCACAGGCCATGCACAAAAACCTCCTTTCCAACTGTGGACTGTCAAATCTAAATGAGACTTTTCTGTCTGTGCAGGGGCCTGCATCATTCTGGAAAACCCTCCAAAGAGGTATAAGAGCATGCATAGGCCTTGTGCTGGCTCTCAGTCTTTCGCTCCTGTGAACAAACCTGGGTGTGTGTATGTGTGAAGGATGGTTAACAAGTGATTGCGCTGGTGGCATGTTCAGCTTATGCATAAAATAGATGGCACTGAAAGCCCAGGGTCCTGGTTATCTGAACTGGCTGCTTACATAGGTAGCAGAAGCTTTCCACCCAACAAGACTGACTTTCCAATATTTATTGAGCATTACCAGTGTGTGTGCGCAAGCTCATTTGCTCTGCTTTGGCTGCGTGTTTCCTCTGGGTTTCATGAATACTGGTGCAGACTTGGCCAATTTTTACTTTTCTGCAGCTTTACAGAGGTAAATGGCCCGGCAGTTTCTATTATGGGGGTGTTTTACACTTCATATCTTTGTTGCTTTCTCTGAAGATGAATACCTTGGGAAATTGTGTCGTCGAAGAGTTTGTTTTTTCTTTGGAGACCTGTTGGTATGAAATGTTATGTTCCCCCAGTAAGCTTCCTATTTTCTTTAACCTTCAAGAGTGTTACAGAACCAGGTTATCAAAGCCACCGTTAGCCCGTCTCAATCCTTCCAGCTCTGAGCAAGGTAAACATTGCGCCCTGTGATTTCACACCTTTGCAGCCATGCTTCCCTAGTGCGAGTAGGGAAGTGACAGGCAGCTTTCATCCTTTGCCATGTCCTGCCTCTTCAAAACTTTCTTCCACCTCTTACTACTGCAGAGGACATAACTGCCTTGGCTGAGCAAAGGTAAGACACCCGTGCTTTACTGGTGTAGTAAGTGTGGAACAAAAGGGTGGCCCCCAAATCCGTGGGAAAGTCCTAAAAGGCAAAGTTACATGTTCTGAAGCAGGAGCTATAGTCAAATCTGAAACTATCACCTTTTCTTTCTGGCCCACTTTCCAGAGCTAGCATGGATAAGTATTCAAATACCTTCCAAAATCTTCTCTAAGTATACTGGCAACCCACATCCCCTTTTCAATGCGTTTAGGAGCCCAAATCCCATTGCCTTTCAATGAGACTCCTAAGTGCATAGGTTCCTTTTGGAAAATGAATTTCAGGCTCTTAAATCACTTAGGTGTTTAAGTGTTGCGGTCTGCGGGGAAGAGAGTAGACGTGAGTGACCTTCCTTCTGTGAGAGACCTACACCAGGTTCACAGGTATGGTTTGGTGACTCATTTTCTCGGCATGTTGAGCTAACTGGTCTGAGGCTGCCTCCAGGCGAGCGCGGCTGTGCGGTACGGGGCACTGCAGACCTGTTTGCGACGCCAAACATGCAGGTGTGCCCCTGCCGCTACTTTGCAGTGTTTTGACCCCGGGAGATCCTTGGGTCAAAAAAACCTGCACAGAAAAAAAGCAGGGCGGCGCACGTGCACCACCCAGAATGAGAGCCTGGCAGGCCGGAGCCATGCTTGCAGCTGCAGGAGCACCACGGCTGCAGCTTCCCCGGCCCTCAGGACCCCAGATAAGGCTGCTGGGCCCTCTACCCTACCCAGGGTAACCTGCCACATGCCAGAGCGCATGTGGCACAGGTGTTCGATATGAAGAATATTTGGCAATGTATTTAGAAGAGCACAAAACAATGAGGAGCTGCTACAATCTTCTCCTCACCTGTCCTCTTTTTAAGCAAACAGTAATGCCAGCCTCTCTCACTTGGGCAGATTGTCACTGAATAACTCATTCCAAACCATGAGGTTTACTGCAACGTAGCCGGCAAATTGTGCCAGGTACCCACTGCATCTCATTACTCTCTCACCAGGAAGTGCTTTATATCACGAGCATTATCTTCTCTCTGCTAATTCTTTCTCCTGCAGCATGGCCAACTCAATCTGACTTCATTTAGGGAGATTTAAATGTTTCAAATGAATGTTGACAACCAATGGATCTGAGAGGGCAGAAGAGTGCAGCTCTCAGTAAAGATTAAAGGAGCCTTGTCACACAAGGGCTGAGGGAACATGCTATCTGCCTTTCCTACCCAGCTACCATGCTCTTTCTCCAGCTTTGATGATACTCTCCAATTGCTGCAGCAGACATGAAAAATGATCAGGGGAAAAAAAGGTTTAAATCCATTTTTAATAACCCAGCACTTTGCTCCCCACCAGTGCACACATGAATAGGTTATAGCATCCCTTAAGAAACAAGAGTGAATTTGGAAGGGGTCATCAGGAAGGCTGCAGGGTGAAGAAACGGCATTGTGTGTGCATGCAAGGAAAGCGCACGAGGTTTGTTGAGTTTCCAGCCCTGAGCAGGTCCCATCTGAGTACGATGGATTCATCCGCTAATTCCCTACAGTGATACACAGATACAGACTCTCCCTTTGGACAAGCCTCGCAGCTGATAAGAGCATTTCATTTGATTTTGCTGTGTCGTGAGTTTCAGACTGTAACCTGACTCGGCACAAATTGCTGCTGGTGCCACGAGCTTTACAGGCAAACAAGGCCCACCATGGCGCAGGGGTTGATGCAATGCACGAAGCTCCTGGCCCGGGCTCCTCAGACCAACAGTGTGCCAAAAAGGAGTGCGCTTTTAAGTGTGGTTGGCTAATACAAAGTTGCTGACCCGAGCTAATTTTGTTACCAACTCGTTTAGAACAGTGCTGTCTTTTGGCCCCGCAGGCGCAGGGCCGGATTGTACCCCCCTGCGCCAGGACCAGGCCTGCACCCCCCGCTTGGCCGCACCGGGCCTCGGCTGCCCCCTCGCCCCTCAGAGCGGCGCGCCAGGATGCGTGCTGGGCTGTGCGCATGCTCAGTGCGTCCGCGCGCGCTAGGATCGGGCCCCGAGCCCAACCGTCCACCCTCCCGCCTTGGGCCAGCGCAAGCCTGTGCGGATTTGAGGGCCCGCAGCCGCTCCGCGCAGCCCCGCGCGCCGGGACGAGCCGCCGCGCGAGAGGAAAGGGGCCGGGCCGCGCGTCCGTTCTTCCCTCCCTCTCCCCTCAGGGCCGGGCCGGGCCGGGCCGGGCCATGGCGGGGGCCGATGTCGCGGGCTTCTCGGACCTCAGCGACTCGGAGCTGCTGCAGGCGGAGGAGCCGCGGTAGGAGCAGCCCCTGACCCGGGCAGTGCCTGCGAGGGTGGGGGGCCGCCTTGCTTTCTGGGGGCAGAGGGTTTGTGCTAACGGCTCCCGTTGCAGGGAGGCCGAGGAGCCGCGCTCCGCGAGGGACCCCGAGGGCGCGGGCAAACGGAAGCGGGCCCAGCGCCCGCTGGACAGGTGCGCCCTGCGGTACCTGTGCGTGACCGACCTGGCCGGCCAGAGCTGGTGCGAGCAGCAGATGGTGTTAGGGATGGAGCAACCGCGGCCACTGGCACCGGAGACGGCTGCGTTGTTGGACGCGGGCAAGAGCATCCATCTCGCCAGAGGTGAGGGCGCGTGGGGCACCCTCGCCGCCCCTTCTGAGCGGGGTCTGAGAGCTTCGATGTGTTGGGTGACAAGCGGGTGGGATTAAAAGCAGTTTTCACTGGACAGGCTGGGTCCAGCCATGTGATCTGGCCCGCGGGTAGCTGGGCAGGGGTTGGGTTGGGTTGCCGTTTGATGCCCATGCCCCCGTCCCCCTGGTGCACCCTGAGTGCCATGGGTGGCACACACCACAGCAAGCTCCAAGGCTGGCGCATGCTGTACAGGAGGCTGGGTGGACACGGGGCATGCAGTCTATGCACTGAACCCCCCGTCGGTGTGCAGGGCATTGCATGGAGCCAAGTGCAGTGTGCGCGCAGCCAGTTCAGCCCTGCGCGCTACACGCAGCACATGTTGGATGTGCACATGGCCCACAAGGCCCTGCAGCCCTGGGGGTCCGGGGCAGTGGCCACCTGCAGCACCCTTGACCAACCCCCAGTGCTGCTTGCAGTGCCAGGTCCAGCCTGTGAGCAGTGTAGACCCTGCGCCAGTGTGCACCCCGTGCAGCAGGCGGGCAGGACCCAGTGCCATGGCTGCTTCATAGGGAGGCTGTCCCAGCCTGGCCTGCAGACTGGCGTAGGGATGCTCAAGCCAAGCAAGTTTGCCACCCTTGCTTGAAAGAGCTGTTTAGCAGGCCCTACAATAACTATCTTTATATGCTTCCTTCTAGTCTGTAGATAACCAATGTGGGGGAAAGGAGAATCTTCCACAGTCAGTGGATACATTTTGGCAGGGAGAAAGAAAGAAAACAGCTTAATTTGATCGCATTTTCCCAGAATTCATGGTACACTTTCATTTTCACAGGAAGTCAGGAGAGCCGGATCTTGCTCCTGACACAAGGCGAATGGTTTGGCTCTCGTGCCTGTTTCTCTTCTGGTGTCACATGCATCAGCGTGCCCGCACTTAAAATGGCAGCAGGGGCGCTTGAACTAAAAGTGACTTGACAAACTTTAGTTCAAGCACCCCCACCATCATTTGTAAGTACAGGGATGCTGATACAGGAGATGTGGCGGCGCTTTAATTAAAGCAGCTCTTGGAGCCACTCTGATTAAAGCACCATCCCTCCCATCCCCAGAGCATTTGCAAAAGTGTCCCTAGACTTTAGTCTCATCTGGATTATTTAAACTAATACCTTTCCGGTGTTGTCTTTTATCATGCCAGTACCATTCACAACAGGACCTGATCTCAGCCAAGAGCCTCACAATGGTACCATGTTTAAAATATTAATTATTGTGTTTTTTTTCTCTTGAAATCAGAGCTAGAAGTCCATGACCTGGTAAAAATACCTACTACGAGCAGGGAGGATTCTTGGGCAATAAAAATACTGAATCTTCTTTCAGTGATTCCAGTCCTTCAAGCAGGTAGGTAAGCCAGCAAAAGATGCTGGCAGTTTTTTTATCTTTGCACTCAGTGTGTATATAAACCAGTTAATTGTACTCCTGAAAGCAATGACAACAGGGAAAGCAGTTGCCAAGCAAGAAGTATGTCAGCTGGGGCTTTAGCTTAATTCAAAATGAAGTTTTCAAATGAAGTCTTTCGCTGTTTCCGTTGAGGAGCTGCTCGGTGGGTGTTTAGCTGTTTCTCAGTTTTGACTTTCATTCCATTTGGAAAACAAAGTTAGCTGGCTTGACTTCATATTTTGCATCCAAGACATTTAGATGGGGAAAACCATCAGGTTTGTAATAGTAACGTAATTAGCTGTTGAAGATTATCAGGGGATGGGGTCAATGATGCAATTGCAGCCTTTAAATTTAGCTTCCTAACAGATGTGCTCTGGATCAGTGGGAGCCAACCTTTTTGGCAGGTGTGACACAAGGTAAGCCCTGCCTCTTTCCTGTGCGCCATTGATCAGGTTCCCACGCCAGATCTGCGGCTCTGCTTTCTGCTCCCTTCCTGATCTTCTCTATGTTCCCTGCTCCCTCCCTGATCTGGCACGTCTCTGAACAGAGGCTGCCTGTGCCACTTGCAGCATGCATGCCTCAGGTTGCCCACCCCTGCTCTAGATCAGCCACAAACTGCTGAGCACGATGCAAGAATCACTCTTTGCTTCACATCATAGAGAAGGTAGGCTAGATGATCATAGTGGTTATGACTGTTTATGTCAGTGGTTCTCAGGCTTTTTGGACTTGAAACACCCTCAATAACTTTTGTGGATTGAGTGGCACCCAAATTCAAATCCTGATTTATATATTACAGTGCTTATCCCCTTGCAGAGGGGCAGAGCAGTCAGGGTTTGTTGGGGCAGGGACAAGCCTGAAGTTATATCCTCATACCTCACTTAGATTATATCCTTATACCTCACCTAGATATAATTTAGATGATATCCTTATACCTCACGTATCCCCCCACACTCTGAGGCACTCTAGTTGGGAATCACTAGTTAATATGATTGCACAAAATTCTGCCTACTTTTGCTAGAGCAGTATGACACGGGGTGCTTCTACATGAGACACTTATTACGCATTAACTTAGGCTGTGCTGTAGCGTGGTGGTTAAAAACCATGCTAATAGCCTACTGCTCAGTGTTATTAGGCTAATGCACAGTAAGCGTCACAAAAATACTGTGCACTGGCTTTACTGTGCAGTATCTAAGGGGCATTAATGAATGTGTACGCACCCTCAGACACCTAAGTTTGTGCTGTTACAGTCTCCTGTGGGTGGACAAATTTGCATTATCCATATGATTGTTTTGCATTTCTTGCTAAAAAAAACTATGGATTTAACAGATACATTGATCTTATGGCTCATTATAACTTACTTCTCCCTCTGCAAGCCTTCCTTTGCTGAATAGGTGATGGTTGCCTACTTCCCTGGTAGGTGATCAAATTCATTAACACAGGCTAAACTAAGATAATTGTTACAATTTGTACCTAGCTTGGCCTGTTGACTGTTTCATTCCAGAATTGATGAAGGGGGCTTGAAGCCCAAAAGCTTATCTTTCTCCCAGCTGTACAGCTTAGTCCAGTGAAAAACATTTTTTGACCTTAAAAGTCTTGCTTCTACCTCCCAGTATGCATGGAAACAGGGAATTCTCTTAGTTAGGAATCTAAAGGTTGCTGCATCAGTAATAAGAGTCCAAAGAAGTTTTTGATGTTACTTTAAGAGAGAATTGTGTTTATCTTGAAACCATGCTAGCCTCAGAAAACATCCTCTTATACTAGGTGGCCATGTACGGGAGCTTCCAGTGTTTGGAGTGATAGAAGGTGTTTTTGTGAGTGGGATTATAGATGAACTCCGCTACAATACCAAGGGAGAGCTGGAGCTGAATGAGTTAAAAACACGAAGCGGACCATTTATGCCTGGTAAAGCACAGAGAAAGAAAGATCATTTCCAGGTGAGCAAAATATGTTCATGTATCTCTACATAGGAGGATCCAAAAATGCATACTTGCCCAGACACGAGCAGCTGAGGGAGTTTTTAGCCCACTTGCTTATTTCTTAATATTAAACTAACACATTGCGAACGGGGAAGTGCAGTGTAATGACTTTGTCTTTGTGTTGTTCCTGCCGTGCCAAAAATATTGTACAAATGATTCTACAAACGATAGCCACAGTCTGTACTAAAGCACCCTGCAGCCACATTACATGGCTGTTTAAAACAGCAAGTGAAGAGAGCAGATGAAGATGAACTTTTTGTAGCTGGAATATAATGACCCAAACTGGAAGTCAGCCAGGGCATCAGAGGTAACAGTCCTTCTCTTGGGAGAATTCCCATAGGTTTGTCTAGTAAATTGTTAGAAGGTTGAGTTTGCCTTTTCCCAAAAGTGGTGAGATACAAAATGTCCCAAGGTGCAGATATTGTTTCAGTAGTGACCTGTGGAGGTGAATATCAACAAATGAATTGTCACCACTAAATCCTCTGGAACTTGCATGGTTTGCACATAATTAGAAGCTTATTTGAACTGCAAGAGCCAGCCATTCATAGAGTTCAGATCTGCTTTCTGGTGCGTCTTTACAAAGTTGTTGCACAGTTCCCCAAAGAATTAATAGGAAATGGGGATCGAGATGCCCCCACATGGCTTGAAAAATCCCATCTTTAAATTTCAGTCGATGAAGTCTCATTATGCCAACTTCTCTGCTGTCTTGAACAAACTATTCATACCTAACAATATATTTGCAAGTGGCAGCTAGGTACAGAAATTCAAAAAGCCCGAGGTGGAAGTGATCTAAGTTATGTGGTTTTCTGTAAATGGCGTAGTTTAGATGAGTAGTGAACAGAACACACGTTCACCCTTTGGTCGGGAGCAAATCTGAGACTGGGTCCACTATTTTTTTTAAATCAGTCTATGTATAGACCGTTTTGTGTGCCAAACTTCTGTTTTGGGTGTAGATGGGTTTCCAGTCACTTGTACCAGTAAAAGTATAATGTCTGTACCTGACCAATATCTGTGATTGGATTCTGTATGGATCAGCAAGTTCTCCATGTTTTTCTCAGGTTATGTCATTTCTTTTAGAAATGAAAACCCTGTGGACATGGGCATTCTCACGTATAAAACAATCAGTCATCAGGGGAGTATTGCACTCCTATTTTGAATTAAGGCTGAGATTTGCAAGGAAGATTTGCTCTCAACCTATATACCTTTGTGATGGCTGCACTCCCTAATGCATGCTGTGCCATAGTGACATGTTTGGTCACCTGTTGAGTATGCGGGCTGCTCTTTTCCTCTTTCAGGTCAGCTTGTATAAATACATCTTTGATACCATGGTTCAAGGACAGCTGAAACCGGACGTTTTCACGAATCATATTCAACTGAGGCCAGAGCAGCCACTTGGGTGCCAACTTAGGAAGCATGCTCAGAAGATAGGATTTATGGTCACATCCTTTGGGGACCTCCTGGAACTGATGCACCTGAACCTGATGTTCTCTGACATCCCCGGCATCGACTGCTTGAAAATTGAATACCGCCACCAGGAAAGCAGCGTCCCCCTGGGGACAGAGGTGGTGCCGTATGAAGAAGCAACGGTGAAGGAGAAAGCACAGTACTACCTTGCTTACTGGAAAGGACAAAGGGAAGTGCGGGGGGTAGATATTGAGGAAGCCTGGAAGTGCCAGTCGTGCGGCTACTCGGAGATCTGCGACTGGAGAAAGAAGAGGGCAGAAGGGCTTGAAAAGAGAAATGAACCAAAAAAGAGTAAATGAAAAAAGCCTGCCCTCTTATTAGGGATGCGCTACTTGTACCGCAGTGCGCTCAGTCTTCTGTTCAGTTAGCTCATCAGAATTAAAGAGGACATCACAATGGACCAAACTCATTACATGGCTAAACATCTGTTGCACCAATTGTGAGTTTGGCCTTGTGATTTTAAAGCTCTTATTGCTTTTGATAGTGTTCAGTGTTACAGAGGCATAACTTAAATGTGGGATGAAGAGCCAGAACACTTTGTCAGAGACGGTGCCAGCTGCTACCTCATGAAACCTAAATACCTACCTCACATGGGTCTTATTGCATATAACAGATTATAAAGTGATTTGAACAGGAGGAGAGTCCATATCTCTACAGATTTTTAGCAGAGAAGGTTTCAAACTCTAATCTCATATCCCCCCAGCCCCTAACCTTGGCGATTTTTGTCTCTGGTTTGTACAGGGTCACCCGCTCCTCACTGTTCTTTTTGATCTAGTGTTCGGTGAGCCATTTTCTTTATAAGACTACACTAATCTGTTTCTGAAACACATCAGCAGTGGCCTGGAGGCACAATGAAATGAAAGGGGCCAAACTCTTGGGTTACCTTCAAAATACCGCTCACTCCATATAGGTCCCTTTCATAATCTCAGCTAAAATTATGTACAAGGTGCCTGAACATCCCCTGCAAGACACCTATTTTTTTTTCCTCTAGTCCAGTGAAATTTATATCCATAAGTAATGCATATAGGAGTTTAGGATATTATCTAGCAGAATCATCCCCATCAAAGGGGCAGTCTTGTTTGTTTCTTATCTGAGCCTTATCTCTTTCCATGTTAAACGGTCTGGATGGTAGTATGCTAATTGCTAACTAGAAGAGAGTATTTAACATATTGCTTGATTTGTTTTTATGATTAAAAGTACTTTGTTTTCATAATGTACTGATTGGTAACAAAGTTCTTAACTTTTTCACTACTCTGGCAATAAAATTAATCGAATTTTTCACTCAAGTTATGGTATTTGAAAATTGAGGGCAGGGAGAAGTGACAAAATGGTTACCCTGCTTTTGGATCGGACTAAAAAGTTCAAGTGTTCAAGGCTAAAATAGGTTCTGTAGGCTAAGATTTATGAGCTGGATCCTCAGCTTTAGTCAAGTCTTAGATCAATGAATTGTAATGAAAGAAGGGTCTTTTCTGATCAGATATCCTGTTTAACACAGGCTGGAGATCATGTCCATTTACTCCTGCACTAAACCCATGGCTTCTGGTTGCCCCGTGGCATCTAGTCTGAAGTTAAAACCTTCCGGTAATGGAAAAGGTAAGGTGTTGATAAAGTGCTTCAGCAGTTATTTATCCTCTGTTTAAACCCAGGGCCTTGCTTTTCACCCTTATTTGTGTCAGCTTCTCCATCTGTAAAGTGAGGGTAGAGGTACTGAGCTCCTTTATAAAGCATATTGAGATCTGATGATAAAAAGTTCTATTATTATTTTTTTATTGTGAATTTGCTGCCCTTCAGCATCCAGGCTTTGCCCTCATGTTGCCTTTTTCTGCTAAATTAAAAAGAAAAACCATCTACTACCAAAAATCTCTTCCCCACTTATTATAGATCACTTTCAGCCTGCCTTTGATATCACTATAAAGAGATTATATCTTTAGTCTCTCGGATCAAGGTATGTTTTGGGGACTTTGGATCACTCTTGTTGCCCTGTTCTGAACATTTTCCAATTTTTCAGCTTTCTTGTTAAGTCTGGACAAGAGAATAGGCTACACTATTCTTGAAATGGTCTCAGTAAGGCTGTGTGCAGAAGGGAGGAGTTGGTGTTTCAAGGCATGCCTCAACAAGCCAGTCTGACTTCCATTGAAGTCACCATTGGAGCACAATACTGGAAGGAAGGGAGGCAGGTAGTTATTGTCACTTTGTTTACTGTGCTATTGACATAGGATTTCAGTCTTCCAAGTGATCACTTTGAAAACCGTTCATGATTCCTAAATGCTCAAAATACCAAAGACTGCTCCAGAGTCTAACCTAAAATCTGTCGGACACCTGCAAAGCATTCTCTCCATAACTCAAGTCTCCTCTTGCCTTTACTCCAGTATGATGCAGCCTGCTACTAAAAAGGGGTCCATGACTCTGGAAACTTTCAACCAGAAGGTTAGTAGCTACCGAGCTAATCCATGCTTGATCCTCTCCTCGGATACCCGAGGAAATGCTGTAGGTCTCATGATAGTTGAATGCAGGCTATCATATGAGAGTTAATGCATTTCTGTAAGACCAAGGAGTTCTAGACATGATCAGGGTCCTGTCTGACCTGACATTGGGCGATGAATAAGAAGATCTGCTCCAAAAGACAAAAACCAACAGGCTGCATCTACATATGCAAGTAGCATGCAGAAATAAACTCTGGCACAGTTTGCACTGAAGTTAGCTGCTCCTGGGTACAGCATCTGCATGTGCACCCCAGACTACAGCAGTTTAAGCCGAGGTGGAGCAGCCCCAGGCTGGCAGGGAGTCCAGGGGGTCAGCCCCCAGTTTCAGGTGGTGATGTCAGATGATGGAGGGGCTGGCTGGGCACGAGGGTGCTACAGTGCAGAGGTAGGCAGCATACAGGTAGCACCCTCATGCTCCAGCCAGCCCAGTCATTGTGTATACATGCAGTGTAGCAGAGTAAATTAGTCTGCCATAGTACTGGATCCTACAGTGTAATTAATTAATTTACTACGCCCTAAATCCAGCCCACACGTAGGTGGCAATGCTTTACTGCAAAGCTAATTAGTCCATTCCACAGTAAAGTGTGTGTGTAGATGCACCTGTAAAGTGGCAGGGAAGTAAATTTTCTTTTCATTTAAAAAAAAAGAGTGGGGGAACCCTTTCTTGCTTGTAAGGAGAAGCTTAGAAATGTGAACCTCACATCTCACTGCAGCAGAAGGCAAATAAAAGAAAACACCATCCATTGCATCTAAAATGCCTTGACTTTAAGTCAGCCAAGTTTACATTACAGGGCCTGACTTACAATTTCTTTTGAATATCTGAGGTTAGCAAGCCTGGTGATATTTCAGGCATCACAGAGGCGAAGAAACTCCCATCAGGACTTGACACAGGGCAGGGCTTCTTGCAGGGAAGGGGTTTATTACAGCAGGTGCTAAGAAGTTCTCCTGTAACCCTAGCTGGGGCAGGGCAAGCCAGAAGACACTATCCAGCATGAATGCAACATATTGGCATTGGTTTGTTATAACCTGTTTGCAACAGAAAGAGAAATCTTAGCTTTTTTGGCAGCCACATGCATTTTTTTTAAACTTCCCAGTGGGTCACGAGTCCTGTTGGTTAAAACCTGGTGTGTTTTTTTTTCAACAGAGCTCACACCAGGCTCAACGGTTCGAGGAAATCCCGCCCCACAGTGACACAGCAAGAGGAGCCTCGTCTTAGCAGAAATGAAAGTGAAAACAAGACCAGCCGAAGCAATCAGATAGAAAGAGGGGCTGCAGAGAGTGTCTGGACAATTATATGCTGCTATGGACTTCAGGACTTGTGTTCTTGCTTGCTGCTTTCTCTGCACCGGTACGTGGAAGTCCTGCTTGTTCTTTGCACACCCGCTCCTGCTTTGTAAAACGGGACTGAATCATGTCAACCCTTAATGGCAACAACAGGGAAAACAGAGCATGTAGTTTCCAGCAATGATTTCTATCATGTTGGAAAGCTGAGATGATCCTTCTTGTTGACGTGCTTCTCTTGCTAGCTGCAGGCGACTGCTGCCAGTTAAAAATGCCTTTTGTGGGGTGGGGGGTTGGTTTTCAAAAGTAGTAAGTGATTTAAGATATCTCTTTTTTCAAGTGTCCAATTTGAGGGACCTTTGTAGCAAACAGCCATTGGCCCTTGAAGAATCAGCCCTTTCGAGGTATTTGAAGTTTGGTACCTAACACCCCGCTTAAAATCTGGTCCCTAGGTTTTGGCATTGAAGCAGCTGGGATAAATGAATGGTTTTGCTCATGGCAGCCACTGGAAATCTCTTCAAGCCAGGCTGTGCTGGTGCCCTGGCGCTTGGGGAGCGGGTAGTGTCAGAGGGAAGGGAATTGAACTGTTTGTTTCAAATAGAGAGAGAAAAACTTGTAGCTTTCCATCTTTTTTGCTGTCCCTTACACAAGATGGGGGAGAATAATATCTGCTCTAATCCGTCCCGGACTCTCAAAGCAAGTTAGCAAAGATAATCCTGTATTGCAGCTGTAGTTAAACAGGGACCTGGGAGCAGGTGCTGCTAGAGCCAGATTTATAAAGGTGCCTAATTCCTGAGACGGTCAAGGAGAGGTAGTTAGCTCACATAAGCTCTTTAGAAGATTCCGCTTGCTTAAACGTGGTCCTTAGGCTCTGCCTGGCAAAATGTTCAACAACTCTGGGCTTCGGTTCAGTCATCTCTGAAACTCAAGCTAATGCTTACTTCGCAGGAGGGTTGTGAGGCTCAGTGAATTGTCTATAAGATGCTTTCATGTCCTGGCATGAAAGCTTGGGCTGAATAGTATTAATATTTTATTAGCAAACTTCTGGCATGGTGTTGTTTTATTTTCCTTTTGTACCAGCTTTCTGAGCAGCAAGTGGATAATGCCCAGTTTGCTTGTGGTGTTTTGCTGTTTGTACTGTTGTTTCTTCCTCCTTACCCTTCATATTGTAAAGTTTTGTAATGGCACAATAAAAAAATCCACTAAAATTCTGGGACCATCAAGCAAAATGAATGGTTTTGGGGAAAAGTAAATCGCTTTCATTATTTTTCTCTCCAAAGAACTAGGTGAATAAAACACCCAATGTTATCTCAACTGCTAAAATTCAGTTAAAAAAACCAACAATTTCTATTATATTTAACATACTAGCAAGTGGATCTATTACTGCAAGCAGATAGTGCTTTACATGCATTTCTTACACGTGGAAAAACTGAATTTTAAGATTTCACTGCCCAGAGACCAGCAGCATGATTTTTTTTTTTTCAAATGGCATTTGCTTGTGTGCATCTTGTCTTTCAGGAATCATCAGGCACCACGACGGTTTTGCGGCAGCAGGTTCAACCGGCAGTCAAAGCAGGTGGCTTTTCTGTTCCTTGGAGACGCAAGAAGTCATCCTGTTATCGAGTGAAGTAAAGTACAACAGACAGGATGCCTGGCTCCTGCTGGGAAGAGAGAAATCAAACGGCGATATGCAGAGAAATGACCCAGAAAATCCTCCTCCTGACGACGCAGTCTTGTTTATCGTCAAAGGTGAATTATCTGCTTAGACACTTGAGTCACATGAACAAATACAAGTGCAGAATGAATACTGAACCAACCAAAAGCAGGGGTAGGCTCTCTGATCTGCAAGGCTGCTGGCAGACACACCTGGATGGCTCCTTTCAGCTGTTCAGGGAGGATGACAACGATCCTGTGCTCCAGGGCTTGAGGGCAGTATCAGAGCATGGGGACTGGGGCTGAGCTGATATTAATTCACCATTGTCAGAAAGTCTGTGATACTTATTTAAGCACAACCTTTGAGCTTGCTTTTACTCCCTCTCAAAGAGACCTAGTGTCTTACTGTTGCTTTGTTGTGTTCTTGGCACAGCAAGAGGACTGGGCTTCCCAGATGAGCAACCTGTCTAGTACTAGGGGAACCTTTTTTGATTGTACCAGTAGCTTCCCTATCTCTGAGGCCAGCATCTCTTATGTATGATAGTGCAGTTGCCATTTCATCCTACCGAGGAAGAGGATTATGCCTGGCCTTCTAGGACGTGATGCGATGGTGATACGACCATTCCCTACCACTTTCAGGAAGTAGCCAAATGTCATCAAACCCATTTTACCAGTAGGGAAAACAGACAAGAGTTTGTGACCTGGCTGAGGTTGGAATTCAAATGCATTAACTAGACCAGACAGCCTTTCAGTGGCTGAAGCATCAATGAACAGCACTCTTTTCTTTTCTTGTGTAGTTATTAAACCCTCCAGTGTGGTCCCTGGTAAATCTGGCTTCCACTGCTGTTGACTAGATGACAAATACAGAATGAAAGACCTAAAATGAAGCAGCAGCAGTGCATGTGCATGGGCTGTCAAAGATCCATCTGGAGCGTATGCTGCATGCTCTTTTTTTTTTGTTCTTACATAGCGTGAGGGAGAGAGAAACTGAGCAACACTACAGTAGACACCTCTGCACAAAAGAACTTCATATGCATGTGCAGACAGATGCATAGAAAATGAGACTGAGCATCTGCAGAGCCATTGATCATTTCATGCACTCCTTCACATCGCTGGGCCAGCTTTTTGCTCATGTATAAACTATGCCCATGAACTGTTAGAGCTAGGAGACTGTGCAGCAGTAAGTCATATACCAAAGTGTGGTCTTCTTTATCAGTGGGATGATTCAAAATACATTTTTACTCAGGGATTAGTATTATTAGTGTGGCTACATTTAGCTCCCAGCAAGACATTATAGGGATTTTTAAAATGATGGAAACGTAACATAAAATTATGGAAACACCAAGAAAAGTTTATTGATGGAAGTGTAAGTTTTTGCTTCTGCTATAAAAGGAAAAATGACGGAGACAGCTTTGTTCCGATTTAAAACTCCATTCATGGGCAGGGAGCAGACCTTGAAGTTCTCTCTCCCAAAGTTCCAAGAACGTGAAATACGTTTCTCAAGAAGAGGCGCATTTTGTACTTCGTTATTCCTTTCACTCTGCACTCTGAAAGTTTGGTGTCTGTACACCTAGTGGATTGTGGCACTCAATTTGACCAAGATACTGTTGAGATCAAGAACTTAGAAACGTTGAAAAGGGATTATAGGGATAATAAGTATATCCAGAATGGCAATAATAAACGCTCAAAATCCGCATGCTGCAGGGTTCAAACCAATCTTTTGTTTGGAAGGGAGGCAGATAATCCTATAATTGCCTATAATGGCAGAGTTTCTTGCACTGTTCCTTGAAGCAGCTAGTGCCAGCAAGGGTCAGTGATAATCTGATCAATGTTAATAATAAAAAATATCATCTCTGCTATGAGTCCTGGTTGCCTTTTCCTCTGAACCAATACAGCTACAACCTGGATACCATTAATAACATAATACTTTTGTATATAATCTACATGAGAGGGAATGGGAAGACTCCCACGGTGGTTAAACTAGCAGTATACAGGTTTGTGAGCTGGTAAGTCCAACCCCATCACTGAGTCAGTAGGAGTGATCAGAGCCGCTGTCCTACTGTGGGACAGCTAAGCCCCTGGGAATTTTTTACATGAAGAGAGACTGCTGGAGATTGCCCAGGAGATGGCAGCACAACCCCCTGCAATAAGGCAGCTGCATTTGTTCTACAACAATAGGGTGTTGATCTGTATCAGATTGTTTTCTACATAAGAACACACGCTCGGAGCTGCTCCAGTGGTCATTTCTCCAGCAAACCAGTGTGACAGACAGAAGGCCGTGCCGTTCATTCCCGGGCACAATGAGAACAGATCTGAAATCTCTGGAGTGCATGTTTGATGCATTTTTAGACTATTTCACTGATGGTTCTTCCACCGGCTCATCCTTCCAAGATATCAAATGCAGCATTTGAAAGTGTAGCAGAAGGAGAAGGAATGGTGCTCAGGTAGCCCCTGGTGATGAGGGTGTTGAAGAACCTAAGCAGACAGACTTAAAAGGGTGTTGCAGAACTTACAGCTTGAGCCCTGATCTTTTTGCAATACTTTTAATTTCTCCCTGTTTTTGTCACTGAAGTCAGCTGCTCTGGCTCTAAGTGAAAACAGATCCAAGCTGAAATATGAACTAGTACTCAAGGTTCATCCTACCTTGTACCAGCTGCCAACTGTGCCAAGAGGGTCTCCTTTTGGCATGGCCATGTATCCTTCCCTCTGTAGGCATCCCTTTCTCTGTGGTCATGCCCCATATTCTAGGTCAGTTGAGGTGAGATTAGCATAGAGGTCACTAAAACAGTACTGTAGGGATGGCCACGGGCAGAGCTGTCCTGTACCATCAGCTGTATCAGCTTTGCCCTTATGGAAGAAGTAATATGAACCTAAACCCTTGTCAGATGCTGGCTGAGATCCTTCTGTAGGTCCCTGTGGGTGGTACGGCAGGCTGTGATGTGTGTCCCTCAAGGCTAACCCGAAAACACCAGCCTTCAGGTGACTTCACAAACCAGCAATTAATCATTTTGAAAGAGGCTGTTGGTGGGAAGAGAAATCTATCAGGGTAAGTCCTGTTGGGAGTGTTGGTTAGCTTGTGCTGTTGTCTCATCACCAAATCAAGTTAGTCACAACACAGAGGGGGAAATAAAGAGAGATTTCTCCTTGGCTTAGTCACAACAGTGTAGGAGGATTCAGAAGAAAGATTTGTCTTTTGGAGTACTTTGCCCTTAGACACAGCGCTCTGCATGCTGGGAGCGATACGTTAGAGAGGAATCTAATCCGTAAAACTCAAGCCTTGGTCTAGATTTCAAATTTTCCTAAAGAGCACGGTTCCACTGGAACTTTCTCTTTAGCAATAGCATTGCGCGTGTCTGCAGTGGCTTATTTTGTGGCTCACAGGTGACTCCTTCCAAGTGTACCAGACACTTGCATGTTAGCAACAGCGTCCTGAATAAAACGGAGCTCTAAGAGCAAGAATAGTCCTATCCCGGTAAAATGGATCTTATCCAAAATGCAGCCCTCGGCATGTCCCTTTATTCAGGCTGCTAAGCTGTATGCTTTGCCAATTCCTGCAAGTGATCCTCATCCAGTTCTGAGGACCAGTACAATAAAAGGTATTCAGAGTGGGCAAGCATCTGCATTTCCCATGGACAGCAACACCTCTGAAGAACAAGGCCCGTTCTTTTCTTCGTGTCTCACGCTTTATGTCTGTGGTTGGGTTTTCTTTCGGCCAGTAGAAGGACTGTGCACCGCCTGTGTGTTTCTAAAGCTCTTCTAAACAGGGGAAAGGAGCTTTTACCTTTCAAGTGATAGGAATAAAGTAGCAGCCAGTACTGCACAACCTACCAAAAGCTCCACTAGGAATATTGAGACTACTAAAAATTCCTGGAGGGTTTTTTTCAGTCCTTCCTACACTGTCTATATCACTGTCACTCCTGATTTCCACACAGATTCCCTTGGTTTGCAAGTGAGAGGAGAATCAGACCTTCGAGAAGGAGAATCGCTGGCCCCAGGAAGTAGCAAAGGAGAGGACCCCACAGTGTTAGTTAACAAGGCGCCCTCTTTCACTCATGTCAGGTCTGAACAAGGGCCCTGTTTTTGAAACCGAATCCTTAAAGGTAGATCCCGAGTGTCAGAAGTCATTTGCAAAACTGATTTCCATGGTGTATGTTTTTGTCCTGAGTGCTGATTGCACCAGATTGAATTTGATATCCTGACCTTTGCAGCTGGTGTATATAAGGAGATGGACTTTCTTTGCTGCATATTTATTGAGGTTAGGTGGGATTATGATGAGCATGTGTGTATTTTTTCATGCAGAGTCGTCAGTGGATATTCTTCGGCATGCAGATGGGGATATCAACAAGCTGAAGTGTAAGATTAGCCCGTATGTCACAGATAACATCCAGATTCTCTGGCCGGGAGTGGCATCCAGACCTGCTGAATTAAACCCGTGGTTCACTGGCACAATACAACACGTGGATAACAAGTTCACCATGACGGTCTTTTTCGTACAATCCTCAAGTACCCACGAAGTGGAAGATGGCCAGAAGCCTGGAAGCCGTGCAGAGAGATTGCATGCCTCAGGTACCAAAGTAATCCAAGAAATGTAGAGCGATGGTGATCCCAGTTAGGAGGCCAGCAAGCCAGCCAGCATGCTACTGCATAGCACCAAAGGTGTGGAGCCTGCCCTGCTCTACAACACCGCAACATGAGTGACTTTAGGAACCCCACATAAGGCACTTAAGTGGTGATGCTAAAGACACTTAAGCGGCAGAAAAACTGGTGGCTGATTAGTGCTGGCCGTACCATTAAAATGTGTATTGTTCAGATGTATAAAGAAAGGAGATAAATTCATTTATGCAAAGTCCAAAAATATATGTCCTTGGCAGAGTTGGGAGTAGTGTCTTTTTCCTACTCTAAGGCCACAAGTAAGATATACATTGGTTCAGGGATGTATTTGGTAGCCGTGTTGGTCTGAGATGCAAAGAAATGCAGAAGTCTATACAGCTCTTGGTTCAGAGATGCCTTTTTATTAGACCAACTAAGATAATTAATATAAATTGGTAGTACTCATTTGTGCCACAACATGGCAACTTGTTCTCTGACCGTGTTCATTTGGCTTAGTGTGAGGCATTCCCATCCCGGTTACGGCGGTGGTGCTTTCTCATTCGCATGTCTCTCTTGCTTTGTCTCCGAGGCGTGTTCCTGGTACGTGCTGGGCCTTCTGTTGTTCATTCTGGCTTGAAGAAGGACATCCTCCTCAACTGTGCTTTCTCGGTCGATCACCACGCAGATCTAACCATCAGATGGGTATTGCTTCGGAAAGGGGGAAGCAAGAAAGTTCTGTTTGCTTACAAGGTCTCCGCCAAGAAGGTGGAGCATCAGGATAAGCGAGTCGAGGTGTTCCTGGCTGAGATCCCCCGGGGAAACGCCTCGCTCTTACTAAGAGGGGTGCAAGTAAGAGATGAAGGAAACTACGTGTGCTCGGTAGCTGCATCTTCACTTCTTGGGGAGCAGGAGATCAGACTGCAAGTGCTAGGTAATGGCTCTTGGGGACAGGGTTTAACATATGTGGGGAGTGCTCAAAATACATTGCAATTCAAGGAGGCTGTTTGACTGGATTGAGATGAGGCAAAAGCTGCAGGCCAGTTTTTGTTTTGCAGCGTAAGGAAGAGACTTGCCTTGACCCTGAACTCCAGGTGCATTGCTTGGCCTTTCCGAAGGAGCCTGCTGGAGACGGGTGAAGGGGGAGAATCTGAGAGGCTGTCAGTCAGGAGCCCATTTTGGTAGCCCTGTGATCTCTCTCTGGCTTGCTTTGACCTGCTTTCTTGCCATTTAACTGTTTCTGTGGAATTGCTTGAATTAAATATAATAGCCATTAGCGCATAGAATGGGAGACAAAGAAAAGTCTGCCGCTGCTTTTTGCTAAAGGAGTATCCTTTAGAAAAGCCATTGAGCTTGTCTACAGTGGTCACCTTTTAAAAACAAGACAATCACTATACTTAGAAAGGCATAAGCAATGTCAAGGGGTTTTAATGGCTCCATGACTACCCAAAACAAGAGAGAGAAAATTCATTAGGTAGGGAACACACGTTTCCTTCCTTTTGGTTAAATCAATTTTTTTTTTGTAACCACTGTAGCAGAAATATGTATTTCTGCTGTAGCAAAGATCCAGCAATAGATATGAGAGAAACTAAACATGTTGGGAAGTAGCTTTGTCACGAGACCTAACAAAGCTCCTTGACATGGGGGGCATCAGAAGATGCCGTTTTGATGGTATGGAAAGATTCCTGTCTGGTGGGAGATGGAGAGTGTTTTTAAGAGTGGGGTTAGAGTTGATGTAAAGATGCAGCATTGTCATAACTTCTTCTTTGTCAGAAAAACCAACGGTGATGCTCAATGCTGACTCCCTGTTCTTGGTGGAAGGAGAAGAACAGAAGCTGGTCTGCAGTGTTAAAAACTTCTATCCTCTGGACGCCCAGGCGCAGTGGTTTCGGGAGCCGAAGAAGCAAGGCATGCTCCCGGATGTGATAAACCACGTTCTCTTTAGTAGCCACAAGGAGAACAGCAATGGGACTTACAGCTACTCCAGCTACTTCCTACTTACAGCCTCGCTCAGGGATGATGGGCTCAAATACACTTGCCACGTGGCCCACCAAAGTTTGACGTACCCGATCAAGAAAAGCGTGATGCTGAGAGTCACTGGTAGGTTTTCACTTGAGAAAACAGCCGGTCCGTGGGGAGGAGAAATCTGTTCTCTGACCCGTTTTGCCCCCATCAGTGTTAAGGGGTTGATTGTTTAATAACACCAATAAATCTAGTGTAGAAGGAGCAAAGCTCTTGCTCTGATGATGGCCTGGGGGGAGCAGAGGAAGGAGGAACTTCCCGTGGACTAATGTTACCACGTGCTTAGTAGCATTGGTGTGTTGTAGCTCAGATCTCAAAGAGACGATGGAGAACAACTCACAACTGGATGTCATCCTTAGGAAGACCACTAGATGCTTGAAGTCTGGTCCAACAGTTCTTCCAACTATGTAGTCAGTCCTGGAAGAGGGATACCAAAGAAGCCTTGGCTCTCATCCATTTTCTTTGGAATTCACTTTAGTGGAAAAGAGACAACTTAAAAGGGAGTCTTTCTTTTGGACGGAGCCAACTACAGCGTAGGCAGTGGCTTGGAAAACCTTAAGAAGCCACAATAAAAATTAATAGCAATCACCCATAACATGACTGTAATGGCGATTGGATTATTTTGCAGCTCTGTTTTCAGCCATCAAATATCAATGGACATTTTACTGCCAGCCATTACCTGGGGATGAATAGCTAGTGCCTAACCAGTCCTCTAGCTCCATTTGCTAATGATATCCAGGAAGTGTCTTAAAGATTGATCTTGGGCACAAATTTATTGGACTATCAGTTGTGATTTGTTCTTTAATCCTCTGCAGTCCAGTTTTTAACACATACTTGTTAATCTGGCTTGGTCGGAGCAATGATGAACAGTGTTCTCTGTGTAGCGCCTTGCATGATTCCTTCCTTCCTACAGTTTGTTCTTAAAATTATTCCTTTTTTGTGTAGGGGCAGAATCTGTCCAGCCCTTTGTGGTCCTAGGTGTCCTAACTGTGCTTGCTGTGCTGGTGTGTTGGTATCTATACAAAGGTAAAGCAAAGCAGCAAGGCTTTGGGGAGGGAAGAATTTGCTGTTGGCAGGATTTTGTGCCATTCCTTTGAAATTCAAGAATTTCCAGAGCTGTCCTGGAATGTATAGATCTAGGTGATTTTTATGGCACCTGAGAACTTTAATTGTAACTGGGCTACATGTGCAATTCATGTGAAACAATGAACTCCAGCACAGTTTGCATCGGAGTTTATTGCTCCCTGGCACAGCATTTGCACGTGTGCCTGGGACCGCAGCACGTTGAGCCAGGGTGGAGCAGCCCTGGCTGGCAGGGGGTCCCAGGAGTCAGGGCTGCTCTGACCCAGCTCAACGTGCTGCAGAGGGGCTGGCTGGGCCACGAGGGTGCTCCAGCACAGGACCAGCCAACAAGCACCCCCGCGCCGTAGCACCCTCATGCCCCAGCCACAGCCAGCCCCATCACGGTCAGTGTTGCGTTTTGGCATATGCAGCTATGCCACTGTAGGATCGTACTTGTGTTGGCCAGCACTATCCCACAGCAGAATTAATTAGTTCACTGCGGTCTAATAGCGCCGCACATGTAGATTAATCAGCTCCACAGTAAAGTGACGTATGTAGACACACCTGCTGAGCTTTATTGTCCTGCTGCTTTGAAGCAGTATCTCTTGTTCATCCTTCTCACTTATCTCTTTTTTTCTTTCTAGTGATGACTGCCAATCAGGTAAGCTTATTTACCATTTGGAATATGCAAGACTTTTACATACTTTCCATTGGGCTGTTCTCTAATGCATTTCTATCTTCCAACTTTCAGCCCAGACCCTACTAGAATACAAGGCTTTTCACTTTGGGCAGGTAAGGGGCAAAAAGATGCCCACCAGTGAAATGGAGTAACGTGTAAGGAGGTGGCTACATATTGGGATTTCTCAAACACTCAACACTGGCCTGAAGTCAGTAGGGTTCTTGCCACTAGGAGCAGAGTCGTACCAACACCGAGCCCTTGTGAAAATTGCACCCTATATCATTAGTGGAGTCAGCGGTTAAAAAAGGGAGCTCTGCCACTGAGTCTTCATCACCGTGGGCAACTCATTTATCTTCTTAGTGCCTCCTTTACGTATTGGCCACATAGGGAGGATGATATTCATCTGCCAGTCCTGGATGTTTGTCAGGTAATATGAGATACTTGGATGCAGAGGGCTCGAAGGCTTCTTGCAGATGTATAAACCCCCCCCAAAAATCACACTTTGCTTTTAACTTGGCGCGCCCCAACGCTGAGCCCAGTGCGAGGCATCGCATTAGTTGGACCCAGCTCGCCCATGTATAGATTGGACACTTCAGCAGTGCTTTTATCTAATAGCAGCTATTAGATAAAAGGGCCAAAAAGCCCTGCTGAAGCACACAATCTTTACAGGCGCTGCAGAGCTGGGTTGAACTAATGTGCTGCCTCTTCCAGTAAAGTGCAGTTTGTTGGGTTTTTTTCCCACATCTGTCAGCAGGCAAAAAGTCCTGAAAACGTTGCGTCTGTGAAGTTGCTTCCATTTATTCCCTAATACAAACAACACAAAGAACAGTTTGTTTTTTTCCCCAATATATTTCTATAGCCAGCAGACGTGAAGGTTAATATTGCTTTCCCTGGGAGAGCAGCAATATGTACTGACTTGCAGAGCATCCCTGCGTGGTGTTGCACAGGCAGCGATGTATCCATAGGAACTTGGCTAAAGCTCTGAATGTGTGTGTGCGCATAATAACTTCTGCTATGCTGCCTTATATCACTATCACCAGGTCAGCCTGTTAGCTGCTTTTGTTTAATCTGCACGCTATACAAGAACCATGATTTTAAAAGCTGTCTAAGGAACCTGCGGGTGTTGGGTTTCCATCCTCAGTCTAGATCATCTGAGTGTGGTGAACAAGCCAGAGCATCTGTGAAGGAGCTCTCAAAGTTCCAGAGAAGTGGGAGATGGTTCCCAGTACCGGAACAGAGGAAGATCCCCTGGTGTTTAACCGGCAGGGCTGGTGGGGAAAGGAGAGAGACGCTGTGTTTTACTATATAGAAACCGAATGGTATTCTGCCAGTTGCAGGAGCTTGAAACTAATGTAAAGACAAAAAGACTTCGAGACTTTGGTTAAATGGTGCGAGGCTCGTGGCTGTCCA